ACTTGAACGTATGAAGAACTGTTTCGTTTTGTAACCAATGCTTTCAAAAAGGCTTTTGTCTTTTAAGAGGCACTTTATTGTGCTTAAAAGCACACCTGAAGTGATTCCCGGAGAGATTTAAAAGCGAGGAAAAGGTTTTATATTTAAAACTAGAATCAGAAAGATTTGGTTTTCACTTGAATAAGCTTGAATTTACGCTCCAAAAAATTCCGCTGGCGTGAAAACCTTGGGAGCCGATATCAGGAGTGTGACCTTCCGAGAATTTTTCACCTAGGTAAAACAAAGCCCGAGATGAATTAAGCTCGGGAGATTTTTGATGAATTTGCCCTAGGTAATAGATAATTTCCCTTGTTCGATTTTTCCCCCACCCCCAATCACTCGGAAATAACTTTTCTGATGGTCCGTCCCTATGAAGGATACAATAAAAAACACCGGAAGTTATTTTCGATATCCGCTCGCAGGGATCATTGGAGGTCGTGTTCACTGAACCGAAACGAACCTGGCGATGCGATCTTTCAGTTTTTGAAAAGATATTTATTAGGAGAAATACTCACTAAAAAGCTATGTCGTAAATTTTTTATACGCAAATAAGTGTAGCCAATCAGAAAAACGAACGGTGGTTTTCACGCGTGAAAAAAATGAGACGTCCAATATGAATCGCCAACGATGTTTTTTCACGTGTGAGAAAAATGATACGTCCAATCAGAAACCACAGAGGTGTAACCCTGCGTGCAGAGACTACATTTTCGCGGGATGAGCTGACGTGCGAAAAGTAGCCTCTGCTAACAACCGTTCAAATCCGTCCAGAAGTCTGGACGAATAAATTAAAAAATCGGGTTTTTACCTGTTCTTGACTGGTTTAGAACATTGCGTGAGTCTTGCGTCAGCGAACGAGCGCTGACCATTATTGCGCCTTCCTGCATCCCTTCGCGCCAAATTCTCGCATACGAACGCGGCTCAAAAGTAGCAACGGGTAAAGTTCAAAACAATTTCAAAAATCCTTGTTTATGTATTTAAAAGAGCGTCGTCAACTTGAATAAGCTCTGTATTTTGAAGCTGTCGGGATACCAAGACACGCTGCTGCCGATGCTTCTTACGGGATATGGTAAAGATCTGTGAAAGGTTTGAACCCAGGAGTCATATCAAAAGTAGGTTGAGTTTGATCGTCCGGGTGAACGTAGTCCTGAATAGGGCAGTTGTTGTTGACAGTGACAGACGTTTCGACAACCTGTGCGGTAGTCATCTTCAGAGTGAGTTGTATCACGTCAGTTGATGGTATTATACTCCGGTTACTGATCTGATTGGTCAATTACGTTGCGATGTTATTGGTCGTCTGTCAGTTAAGCCGTGATGTTATTGGCTATGAAGACTCGTAATCAGTAATTGGTGCGTTTCGATCTGTCTATTGTCACAGTTAAACAGTCGTCTGTTGTTAGTCAAAATTGTCAGTTCTCCAGTCGTTCTCTCGTAGTTAGTTTTTTGCTTGATCTCGCCAATAAGTCGTTTGTACGGCGCTGGCAACTGTTGGCTACGATACAGTGGCGTTTGTTCTAAGTTAGTAAACCAGCTTTCTAAAGTAAGACGTTGATAGTAGTCGGTAGAATACGTTATACATGTCGCTATTAAGAACTCTACTGTTGAACTACCACTACCGACAGACGACATTATGGACCTACTCAACCTCTGTTTGACCTCGACGTACTTTCAGTACAACGGCAAACACTACAAACAGTTACACGGTACAGCTATGGGCTCCTCAGTTTCTGTTGTTGTAGCAGAAATTGTCACGCAAAACATCGAGGAACAAGCCTTAGCTACCTACACGCGAACTGTACCTTTTTGTTACGTTACGTTGACGACACATTCACCGCCAGCTACACAGACGGAATTGACGATTTTTACGAACACTTTAACGGACAGAACGCGGACATACAGTTCCCCAAGGAGATCGAGATCGAGATCTTCAAAATAACTTCTAGTTTAAAAACATGGCTAACACATGCTTACCTCCATCGATGTTAAGTTCATCTTCGATAGTGCACGTTTAGGGTTGTTCAGCTCCGCAAATATTCACGAAATAGCAGATGTCACCCCTCGAGTTGTCTTCTTGCTCTTCTTGCCCTGTTTTTAGTTATTTTTTCGCCAAGTTCTTACTCTTGAAACGAGTGAAATGTCCGCCATTTTTCAAGTTCAGAACCAAAACAACTCAACCTCGTCCCCAGGCCTTCTCGGTTAACGGTGCATTTACCTGCAAGAACACTGCACTTTTTACGTCATTTCCTCGTTAAACACAAAATTCTTCCAAATTTAGTCATCAGTAACTGGTTATGGTGAATTAAACGTGTGCTTTTAGCCATTTAGAATAGGGGAAATATTTTGAATGAACAATAAGACGGTTTAACTCTGGCCAACAGGTCGTAATATGACCTCTTGCTCTGGATTAAAAAATTCTTAAAAATGAGTGTATTTCTATAGGTAATAAGCTGGAAAAAAAATGCCGTTTGAAGTTAAATGTGCTCCCCGCAAAGCAGACAGGACTTACAACAGTTGATAGCATAAAAATACTTTCCTACAAAGGACTCAGCGGCGATCCGTGTAAATTTTGCGACTAAAATACTTAAAACCAGAGGGGGCGAAGCAGAAAACCCAAACAAGGTCTTTTTTTTTTACTTGTAGTTCTTGGATTACCTCATATCCTTACCCTCATTATTATTTTTAACAAACGTTTTAGTGATACTTCCATTTCGTTCTCATTTTAGCAGTTTGGAAAGATTTGAAATGAAAAGGCCGCCAAAATGATGACTGTCTCAGTAGTATATAATAAACACCATACCACATGGAAAGTGCTTCGTTTGGTACATACGAACTCGTCGTTTTTGTACTAGAAATCTCACTCGTTCGCTGCGCTCACTTGTGCGATTTCTGATACGTCAAAAACTCGTGCGTGAATATCGTACGCCCGCAATTTCCACGAAGTATTCTCTATATATTGTCAGTATTTTTTGTTGATTTCGCCCTCGCGCTCGTAGCTCTTACTCACTGCTCAAAAGAGCTGTCGGGTCGAGAAAAATTTTCACAACGCCCGGTCATTACAGGAAAATGTTGCCTGCTCGGCAGCCAATGAGAGCGCGCGCAATGTAGCCATAGAATGAAGAAGCGTAATTGGCATCATCGACAAAATTAACAAGCCGTGACACAGCCCCTTTAATTAAGGCCAAAGTGAAATTAAACAGATAGCCAGCCTACCAAAAAAAGACATCTCACGTTTCACCTTTCGCGAAATCTGATTCTAGCAGTTCTAATTAATAACTGACATCAGATAGTTCTCAATTGAAAGATCTACTTCTCTTGCTTAGGCTTGAGCAATGACAAAGTAGTTCAGAGCGCTTTGCTAGCCAGACACAATAGTGTTCTGACAAATCAAAAAGGAAATTGTATGTCGGCCTTATGTTTTCCAGATGTCTGCACCCCGTGTTTTCTTGGTGACTTTGACAGCCTTGCATACAGGAAGAACTTGATGCCTTTTTATCGTCTGCAGTGCATTAGCGATGTTACCTGAAAAAAAATAAAATAAAATAAAAGCCCTCAGTGGCGTTATTCTTCACTAATTGTGTGGACTTAAGTTGCAACCTACTAGTTCACAGTGGTATATATGACATATATAATATTGGCAGTGTCCACACCAATCACGAAGACTGGACGTCCTGTACCAACGAAACTACCACAGTGTAGTATTTTGTTTGAAACTAGTATACCTTAAATATTTAACTGGACCTCAATTTTCCCGAAATTTCGTCTCCGCTTGAGGGCCCTCTGACCTGTCTCTCGCGCGTTGCTAAGGGAAAACATTTTTACTTCCGGTGCACGTGCATATAACGATTTTAGGGAGTACTGGAAGGAATATGTTTGCTCTTTGGAAAATTACTTCAAGTTTTGAAAAATGGCTGCTGCATGCCATCCGTGGCGTGAAATTCAGGTCTATAATTTCTTGTCATCGAATTCAAAATACACCATAAACGGACAAAAATGAGAAGAGAAGAAATGGCACCTTCAAGCAACGAAGCTTTCGGATCATTTTACGTTTCTGTGAAACTACCCACCTACCCCTCCCCTAAACCAACATTAACACTTAGTTTTACTCAGGGCCAAGTGTTGGCTATGGAAAGGGGTAGGTGGGCAGTTCCACAGAAACGTAATATGATCCAACTTTGCTTCAAGGACTTTTTTCTTTGTGGGCGCTGCGCTCGTTCGGGTCGGCATCAGAACTGCCCAAACGGGGTTTTTAGAGAGTTTTCAGCAATGTATTTCCTTTTGAAATTTTTATCTAAATAAAAGTTTTTCAGTTGCAGCTCCTCCGAATCAGTATATGCCAGCATGCTCAGCTCTAAGAAGGATGATACAATGATGATACTTGATCTGGAGGTCGGGGGTTCAAAACTCGCCTGTCGTCTTGTTTCCTTAGACAAGGGATTTTACTCCACTTTGTCTCTCTTCGCCCAGGTGTATAAATGGGTACCGACGACACCTTTTTTTAAGTGCTAGTATGTCTTTTACTAGGTGTGGACACCACACTGGGTCTGCGTATTCAAGGATAGGTCGCACTAAAGTTATATACAAAATATAAAATACTTCTTGATTTTAAGGTCCAAGCGTTCTGAAAACAATGCCTAAAACTTTATTAGGCATGTTTACAGCAGCTTCAACTTGAGCTCCCCACGACAGGTCACACACTTTACTGGTTTGATTACTACTTCCATAGTATCCGAAGGAGATGACTTGTCACGGTTATGGGTAATGCGCATTGCTTCGCATTTCTCTGGTTTAAATGTCAGCTGCCATACAGTTGCCAAATTTGCTAAGTGATCCATGTCGGTTTGAAGGGCTCGAGTATCATTTATACTAACGGAAATCTGTCTCTACACTTTTTTGTGTCTCGTAGAACAAAGACTTAAATGGTTGACGAGATGTTAGACGATATATCGTTCACATAAATTAGGAATATGATAGGACCAAGTATTGTTCCCTGGGGAAATCCAGAACTGACAGAAGACTATGAGTAGGTGGTACCATGCACTACAAAGCGTTGTTGCCAATTTGTCAAGAAGTTTCTAAACCTTTGCAACAGGTTGCCCTCTATTCCATAACCTTTCAGTTTGAGGAGCAGGCGTCAATTAGGCCCTTTGGAACTGGTATACGTTGTGCAGATCATCTAACATACAAGTCTCTGGTACTGTGCTGCAAGACGAAGCTCTAAAAATAGCAGAAAATTGGGAATTGAAGGATTCACCACTTCCAATGGTTTGCTGGAGTGTAGTTTGCGAGGAAGGAGATGTTAATTCTATAACCTTTGAAAGCTGGAAAGAAAAGTCAAGAAAACTGATTAGAGGAAGGAAGCCAGAAAATATTTGTAACATTGACGAAACTGGCTGTTTCTGGGAAGGTCTTCCTGAGGTGAGCCTGAATAAAAAGGGAAGCAGGTGTAGTGGCGGGAAGCAGTCGAATCAGCGAAACAAGTCAATGCGGCAGGTGGGAAAGAAGATCCTATCGTGATTCGCCAGTCAGAAAAGCCTCGATGTTTAAAAACCTAAAAGATGCTAGTCGTCCATACAAATGTCATTATTTTGCAAATAGGAAAGCGTGGATGAATTAAGACCTTATGATAGACATCTTGGCGACCTTAAACCGTCGTTTGCAGCTGAAGCAACGGAAGATTATGCTTTTCACGGACAACGCCCCCTGCCATCCAGCTAGTTTACAAGGTAAATTTTCCAACATAAACATTGTGATTTTACCAAAAAAAAAACATCGAAGACACGGCCACTTGATAGCGGCATAATCGCAAGTTGGAAGTGCAGTTACAAGAAAAGGTTGTTGCGTCATGTTTATAGTAAAGTGGATGGATCAAACAGTGCAAGCGACAAGCGAAATCTGTCAACTCGTTGATGACTATCGAATGGGCAGGCATGGGATGATGTCTAAAGAGAAACGATTGTCAAATGTTTCAAAAGAACTGGGTTGTACCCCAATGAAATTGAGGAGGAGGACGATCCTTTTGGGGGAGAAGAACTTTCAGGATTGCAGGAACTCGTTACGGCGATGGAAGCATCCTGTACTGCAGAAGAATTTTTAGCGGCTGAAGACGAAATTGACATATTAAAATATGCTCTGGTCTCTTTGACCCAGCAGATCCAAAATGGAGACAAAAGGCAAGAGAATAAATCTTGAAGAATCATGCGAGCATTTCTACGGAATCAGCACTAGCAAAGCAATTACACGTGGAAGACTCGGCGAAGAGGAGGATCAAACCACAAAGTAACTAGCCATTAAATTGGAAAACGAGACGTTACGATTGTTTGAAATGATGCTGGAATATTCCCGATATCATGGACCAGAGGACCATATGCCGGCCATTAGCAAGGCAACCAACTTGCTCCAGAAAATGAAGTTTAAGAAGCTCAAACAATCACGAATTGATGACTTTTTTCGTTACAGATAATGCTTAATGTTCATTGCATCAGTGCAATATACAGCCTGTTTTGTTCACTTGATCAGTTTCACAGTACAGTATTGTTTTCTCATTTCGTTTTGTTTGTATAGAGCTTGTTTCACTCATCTGATTTCTTCAAATGGGAGTTGCAATCTATGTTCATGGTTCATGGTCATGGTCCAATCCATGATCACTTGGTCCACTTTAGTAAAGCTATTAATGCAAACGTATATCACCATAGTCCTTTGAATGGAATTTGACACCTTATATGACGTTATCTATCGAAACCTGTATTAGGCGGACACCCTGTATTAAGCGGACACTACAGCACTCCCCAAGGGCGTCCGCATAATACAACTTTCACTGTATTTGAAATAAAAGTATTAATAATTTGTGTCAGCGGAGAGGGAATGTATTCGGCAGCCATCTTTGGATACTTAGCAGGTACTTGGACAGCTCCAGTAGGACAATCAGATCTCATGTTTTTAAGCTGTTTCAGCACTTCACAATAGCTGACAGGACGAAGGTAGAATGAGCTTGTGGAACTATCAGATGGTGAGTTGATATGTTCTTGTAAAGCGTGCGGAGAGTTTGGTGTTGATCCTAGCAAGCGAAATGGTTGTTCAGCAGATCAGAATCCACTTAAGGGGCTGAGGATTAGGATGAAGAATTCGATGAATCACCTACCAGAACTCTGGGTTTGCTCGATGACAAGGCTTTGTGATAAAACAAACGCATTACTTGTTTAATTTTTGTCCTTAAATTATTTTGCAGGTCTCGAAATTTACTCCAGACACCGACTGGCTTGCTCTTATGAGCAAGATGTCGTTGCTAGGTTTCTTTTGCTTAGAGCTGCCTAATGTCGTCAGTGTCTAACCATGAGGCAGGGGGGCGGGTGATCTTCGTTCTGGGTAGTGGAACAGGTGTGTCTGTGTATGACTTCAAAACGAATTAGAGATGTCTTGTTGCTCTTCTGAATCAGTTGCTCTTCTGAATCATCAGTGCTATATACGAGGATAAAAGGAAGTGCAGACAAGCCATCTTTAAAAGCTTTTTCACCAAAACGTTTTTAGTTACGAACAAGTTTGAATCGTGGCTCAAATCGATTAACCCTGATGTTAATACATATGTATGGAGCATCATGGTCACTGATGTTGGGACAAGGTAAGACGTTGCAATATGTGATTCGCTTCGGCACATTGCTGCTCATGTGATCGTTGAGGTAGGTGTTGTTCGCGTTACACATTGCACATGCTGGTGTAAGTTCAAAGAGTTCAACATGTCAAGGAATTTCTTGGTGTTTGTGGCTTCAGGATTCATTAAATCGATGTTTGTGTCTCCAGCTATAACAAGGAGACCGTCCCAGAGGGCGCTTAACTGGCTAAACAGGTTTTCAGTCTTATCCGGCCAAGATTGAAAATCTTAAATATGTTCTGAATATAGTACATTACACCAAGCAACATCTTGCTATGTCTATTTCTCCCCGGAATCTCCACCCACATGTGTTTCAATTGTGGCTCAATGCTCTCGATGTCTGTACGTCGTTTAAAGGCAATATTATCTCGTATGTACGCCCCAACACCTCCTCCACGTATTTTGTCACGGTCGCGAAATACGCTAGAAAAGCCGGGGATGCTGACGTAATTTAGTAGATGTGGGTTATCCTTCAACCATGTTTCGGATACTCATTGATGGTGAACAGTAGTTCATTAAATGCAGAGACCATGCTTTGAGTATTAGGATGAGGGAGCCTCAGTTGCTTCGATCTGCTATTTAGTGCCTCTAAGTGGTCATTAAACACATTTAGGTTCCTCCAGATGACAATCGGGAATGTATTCATACGGTGAGGCATGTGCAGTTGGAAGATCTAAAGCGTCCAAATCCTTGCTACTGAAAAAAGGAAGTTCACTCAGTGTACAATTATTGCATATACATTTCAGAGGACTATAGGCTCGTAGGTGTTTCAGCTCCGTGGGTAAAATGTCAGCACAGCGAGCGTGAGTCAAGGAAAATACTTCTCACACAGCAATCTTTTGTGGTAACTCTCCACAGTTTTCGAGCAAGTTAAGCACTTTGTTGCAGTGCATTTTGTTTGGTTGTCATTTGGACCAGGGTTGGTTTCGACATCGCCACTGGAGTTGAGAAGGAATATGGTTGGATTAAAGGGAGTTGTTTGGTTGGACAAATAAAGTTTTCTCCTCTTTAGAAACTTTTTTTTTAGTAGAGGAGTAGTAGGAGGATGAGAAGAAACAGCTTTCCAATGAATAATCAAAGTTTCCGTCCATCCACGTGAGGGAAAGCAAATCCAAAATGGCGGACACGATAGCTCACAGTGAAGTCGCAATTCAGTTGAGAAATACTACTGGAAAATGAATCCTGCTGAAGCTATATATTATCGGGAACAGTGCTGCTGTTGAAGAGCCACGTGGAATTCAAAGAAAGCGCCAAAAACTGGAGTAAAAGACTGCAACGTTGAAAAGTTGATCCGACCGCCATAACGACCGTGACTATGATTTCTTATTTCTACATAAGCTTTACTCGCACCACTTCATTCCGCAATGCCTTCTTATTTATGATATTATAAACAAAAATGTACCTAAATATCTTTCCAATGAGCAAAAATAGGAGGGACACTTCCACCGAGGGCTGTTAGGTATGGGATCCCTTGATGGCTCTAATGGCGGGAAATCCCTAGACAGGTGCACACACATTCCTGGTCATTTTTGCGTGCGATTCAACGGGTCACCATACTTTCCAGAGCTTTTTCAAACAACTCTCTGGTAAATATAGCAGAATAAGAAAGTAGAGGAAAAAGATGTTTAACAACTGACTGAAACTGCCTATGTTCAATGTGCTTTGATACTAGACTTAGATCATGGTGACATGGTTGTTCCTTGAAAGAAACTTGCGAACCTGCATATGAAATTTGAAAACAATGCCAGTGAATAACGAGGACGCTCATTTGTAAACACAAACTCTGGGAGAAAATTTTGTGACATTTAAAGTCCCAATAAATTGTTTTTCTTTTTTCATGCAAAGATTCAGATGAAATCGAAGCACTACGAGATGAGACTTCACTTTCAGACCTCATCATTTCCTTTAGATATTAGCTAATTATATCGAAAGCCTGTTTATTCAGTGTTTTTATAACCCTTAAAACTTTGTTTTAAAATATTTTGAAAACGCTCTCACAGAATGTGCTCAAACTTTGCCCTAATCGAGGCGACTAAGGGAGGTGCAAGGTCCTCTAAGAAATTTTTGAAAAAACTCCTGGTACCGAGAAATACAAAGGCGAGTAAAAATCGTCATGGCAATTCTGATGTCAGTAGAACATGGATTATAACATGTGGTAACCTTTTCCCGATATCTTTGTTAATGCCGAACGCTTTAAGCGGGAAGTATACCCACTATAATGTCGAGCCACCTTAGTTGACTGGTGCACATGTCGGGCTTACCGTTTTACCGGGCATTGCAATAACAGGCTTTTAACTCGTTTGATATCATACATCGTTTGTACCTCTATTCCAACATTTATAGCACAGTAGATTCTTTTTTCGCTGTTTCTGAAGGTGTATATGTATATAACCAATGCACCATTTGGTTAAAAGGCAAATTTACATACGTTGTAAACAATGTATACGAAGATGTTGATTTTATACCTGTAGCCTGGGAGATCGTTAAGAAACCTTTTTGTGTTAGACCAAACGCTACATTTGGACGCCAATTATACGCGCTTGTACATAATGTTAATAGTATCCTTGGAAATTTAGAAAGCGTAATACTGTTTTTATTGATACGTCTTGGGAATCCTGACTTCTTGCATTATTCGTTAAAAGAAAAATTTGGCCCCCTCTCTCGAAATCGCCTTATCGTTTTTTACAGTTGTCTTAAGATTTTTTATTCACCACATGGTTCATGCAGTTATGTGGCACATTTGAGCGACTCGCTATAGGGGAAAGCCATACATTTTACACAGAAATACGCACGTGCATGCGTTCGCGTGCACGCTATCAGTCCCACACATGAAAGGAATGTTGTACACTCCGTTCTTCTTATTTTTCCAATCGTTCACTGGTCCTTCTCAGTGTTACGGTTCTCTTTATACCAATGCAGAAGTATGAAAATAAATCAGGTCACTGCTGTAGAAACGTTCGCAATATCACTATGGACACCCCAGCACACTACAACTGCGTCAGTCCTGTGGCCGAATTACAACTTAACGTCAACAGCTCTTCAAATTCCTTCTCTAACACCGTCTCAGACAAAAATAGTTGGGACACTTCCATCGCACGCTGTTTTTTTATACGTCTGGCAGTTTCCTCGTCCTCCCAATGTTGTTCATCGGAGTCAACTAATGAAATCTTGTACACCAACATTGGTAGAGTTAGAAGACAGTTAAGTGTCCCGACTATTTTGACCGAGATTGTAGTTTTGGGTTTGAGTAACATGCAAGTGTGGACAGAAGTTTGACACAAGTCACAAGAGGAGGACAAACAAACGTACCACTCTGTAGTTCTATGTACACAGCAAGTAGTACCACACGGGAAGATAGCTCCTGTGACAAGCCCTGGGTACATGCCTACAGAGAACAAAATGAGCTCAGTGTTCCGCCGCAAAATTTAATACTAACACTAAACAGGTTCTGAGTAATAACATTTTGCGTTGAAAGATTATTAGTAAAGTCTCGAAGTAAGCCCTCTTGATGCGTTTTTTACTCTTACGGCAAACGTCGTCAAGA